AGTGACAGACGGTCTGAGCTAACAATCCAAAATGACACGCTCTAGATATACCCATGTGCATGAATGGATAAGCTTAGAAGCATTCTCCATAATTTGCCTTCTCGTCCTTTAGTATTTGCTCGATGGGTCCTTCAACTTTTGCTTCGTACCTTTTGGTTCTCACATTTTGACTTTTCTTTTAATGATGTCCTCAAGCAACTGCATCCAAGGTCCTTCAACTCTGGTCTCCAAGTTCACAGTTTTGTGCACTTTTAGGTCTTCTCTTTCTTTTGCACTGTTTTCCTTCAAGTTGGGGATTTTTACCTACAAAGACAGCATTTACATAATTACAAGTAAAAAATTCATCCATTTCATCAATATTTAATTGGTTTTAAGCTTCCAATAAGTGTGTTAAAACACACTTATCCCGACAAAGCTAATGCTTGACCAATGAGTTGGAGTCAAGCATGCTATGAGATAATTAGCTAGCTTAATATTTATATTTTCAAATCTATCAATGTGTTTGATGCATGTACTATTGGAAATAATTGAAACAACAGTGTACAAAATTTTAGCTTTTCTTTTTTTCTCTTTTAATATGGTTGGTGCTTCTTGTACAGTTCAACTTACTGAAGATGCCAAAATACTAAATTTTTGTCATGGGCTATATGAGTTTGTGGATGGTACATCATATTCTCATTCACAAAACAAGTTCCTAAGTTTAGAATGTAATTATTTGTAGTTACCAAGAAGTAGTTGTTTGAACGAGTGAGAATCTGATGTATTTTGACACATCTCACTTGTTACGTATATAACTAATGCAATCCACCCATCATATATCATCCAAAATCAAGCTCGAGAATCCACCCAAGCCCAATTCATCAAGCCTACCTCACTTCAAGCATACTCCCTCATCCACTCACTCCATGGAATACTCATGCATCGATTCAAATACATGAACCCCAACTTTAATATCAAATGATAAGAGTATTACCATTGTACAAAACAGAGAAAAGATTTTTATTCATCTATATCTTGCAACTTAATCTCTCTATATATACTACAATACAATAGATTAGGAAAAGAAGGAAAATATTCTATTTTAAAGAAAACAAAATTATTTCCTAAATTAACTCTAATTATTCCATACAACACATATTACAATCTCCCATAATTGGTACACGATTTTCACACTCCCTCCTCAAGTTGGATCGTAAATATTGATCATATCCAACTTGTAGATGCAATCATCGAATATTAGCCTCTGTAGTCCTTTGATGAATATGTTTGTAGTCTGTTTTCAAGTAGGATGTAGATCGTGCAAATAGTTCCACTTTCAACTTTCTCTTTGATGAAGTGTCTGTCCACCTCTACATGTTTGGTTCTATCACGTTGCACTGAGTTGAGTGAAATGTTGATAGCTGCTTTATTATCACAATGGAGTTTGATTGGAAATTTTGATGGAATCTACAACTCATCCAAAAGTTTCTTCAACCACAAACCTTTCCATATTCCTTGAGCAGCTGCTCTAAACTCTTCTTTCGCACTACTTATGGATACTACATTTTGTTTCTTACTTTTCTAGGTTACCAAGTTTTTCCATACAAAAGTACAATAACCAGTGGTTGATCTCCTATCTTCTGTAGCTCCCACCCAGTCAGCATCAGTGAATATTTCTACATTTCTTTCCTCATTTTTCTTGAATAGTAGTCCTTTTCCAGGAAAGCCTTTGAGATATCTCAAAATTCTGTATACTATTTCTAGATGTGTCTCCCTTGGACTATGCATGTATTGGCTTACCATGCTTACCGCAAATGTAATAACTAATCTAGTGTGAGATAGGTAAATTAGTTTTCCCACAAGTTTTTAATATCTTTCCTTTTCAACAAATTCTTCGATATTATCTGTTTTCCTTGCACTGTCCATAGGAGTATCACATGGTTTACACTCAAGCATACTAGTTCCGATAAGGAGGTCTAGAACATACTTTTGTTGTGACAAACTGATCCCTTTCTTTGATCTGGCTACTTCCATTCTTAGAAAATATCACATTTGTCCTAGGTCTTTCACTTCAAATTCTGCATCTAATCCTCTTTTTAGCCTTTCAATCTCAACTGTATTATCTCCAATTAGAATTATGTCCTCAACATAGAAAATTAGAATAGTCTTTGTCCCATCTTCAAATAATCTAAAAAATGTAGTATGATCTGATTGCAAGTATGATCTGATTGCCCTTCTTGATATCCCTGTCTTTTTAACACGCATAGAAAATTAGAATAGTCTTTGTCCCATCTTCAAATAATCTAAAAAATGTAGTATGATCTGATTGCAAGTATGATCTGATTGCCCTTCTTGATATCCCTGTCTTTTTAACACGTTTGTGAATCTGTCAAACCACGCCCTAGGTGACTGTTTTAGACTGTATAGAGATTTCTTCAGTTTGCATACTTTATTTCCTTCATTTCTTATAGAAAATCCAGGTGGTAGCATCATATAAACTTCTTCTTCCAACTCCCCATTCAGGAATGCATTCTTAATATCAAGTTGTTAGAGTGGCCAATCCATATGTGCTGCTAGTGATAGGAAAACTCGGACTATATTCAGTTTTGCAACCAGAGCTAATGTTTCTATGTAATCTATGCCATAGGTTTGAGTATATCACTTCACAACCAAACGAGCCTTGTACCATTCTATTGTTCTACCTGCTTTATATTTTACATTAAACACCCATTTACACCCAACATGTCTCTTTCCTCTTTGTGGTTCCATCACATCCCAGGTTTTATTTGGTTCCAATGCTTTCATTTTATCCATTACTGCTCTTTTCCACTTGGGAATTTCCAAGGCCTCTTGGATGTTTCTTGAAATTTCTGTGTTATCAATGTTAGAAACAAATGTTCTAAATTTTGAAGATAGAGTATTATAAGAAACAAATTTTGAGATAGGGTGAAGAGTGCATGATCGAGATTGTTTCCTGAGAGCAATAGGTAGATCATCAGTGTCATGTGATTTTGGAGAAAGCTAATGAGGATTTGGAGATATCACGGGTTCTAACTCTTTTTGTGTCTCGAGTGTGAGTTTCTCCTTATCCTTTGACTTTGGTTTTCTTGAGTACACAATCATCTCCTTGTCATGTTGTTTTTTCTGTTCCCCACGAGTTTAAATCGTATTCTGTAAATGGCAAGTTAGAACGTGGTGGTGATGTAGGTAAAGTGTTTGGGATAGAGTTGGAGTTTGGTGATGTAGATTCAGTATGTGGGATAGAGTTAGAGGGATCAAGATTAAGAGGTATTTCTAAAAGCCGATCTTCATCTTCATGTAGTATCTCCTCCTGAAGAGAGGTTTTTTGAAGTAGGGGTTGTTTTCGAACAAAGTGACATCAAGGCTGACAAATAGTTTTTTTGTGACTGGATCATAATATTTATACCCTTTTTGTGTAGGTGAGTATCCAATGAATACACACTTTATTGCACGGGGGTTCAAGTTTACTACGAGAATGTATGTGGACAAAGGTCGTAACCCAAACACTTTTAGAGAGAGATTGGAGGTGAGTTGAGTGTAAAGAAATCCCGAAATTTTTAGAGAGGAGTTTCAAAATTCAAGTTCAGCTAGGCATTCTATTAATGAGGTAGGCTGATGTGAGAATAGCATCACCCCCAAAAAATAATGTGCATGTTTGTAGTGAACATTAGGGCTCGAGCTACCTCGAGTAGGTGTATTTTTTCATTCTGCAACGCCATTTTGTTGGGGAGTATTGACACAAGAACTTAGATGAATTATTCCATTTTCTTGGAAATAGGTTCTTAGTGTACTATTGAAATACTTTGTGTCATTGTTTGCACACAAAATTTGGATTTTTGTCTGAAATTGGGTATGGACCATTGAGTGGAAATTTATGAACACAGAACGAACGTCACTTTTTTTCTTTTAGCATATAAACCCAACAAAGTCTAGTATGTTGTCGATAAATGTGACAAATCACTTTGTGTGGGTGCGATTTTGGGTTCGAGAGGGTTCCCATAGATCAATGTGTATTAAGGTGAATGGTATAGACAGTTTATATACAAATTTTGGGAACGACGAATGATGATATTTTGCAAGCTCACAAAAATTCCACATTTAAGATTGAAAAATGTTTTATTCGAAAAAATTGAAGGAAATGCATGTCTTACAGTTTGAAAATTGGGATGACTCATTCTATAATGCCATAAAAGAATTTTACTTGATCCCATTCTCTATAATTCCGACCGTTGGGCTTCTTGACTGTGACTTGAAAAGCAGAATTATCGACTCCAATTGAAGCCACGGGGTGAACAGATTTGGCCTTACTGGTTCTAGAATCAACGGTGGCTGAGTTTTTACTGTTGGCAGTGGTTTCTGCCATTGATAGCCGGGTTTGGATTTACCCGTGCTTTGATACCATGTAGAAAACAGAGAAAATATTTTTATTCATCTATATCTTACACCTCAATCTCTCTCTATATATACCACAATACAATAGATTAGGAAAATATTCTATCTTAAGGAAAACAAAATTATTTCCTAAATTAACTCTAATTATTCCATACAACACATATTACAATCTCCCATAATTGTTACGTGATTTCCACAACCATCACTTTGCCAAAAACTATAACCTAATTCATCCACAATCAAGCATCGGGAATAAGTTCCTAAATTTCAAGTTCTGTTTTTCCGCTGCGTTAATGGTTACACACACAGTCTTAATAGCACACCCACAAGGAAGCAGGCACGTCATTAAATTTACATATGCTTTTGCTTGCAGTCGCAGAAGATATGGTGGATTCCATAGAAGAGGATGTGAAATGGTATTACATTTTGTGCGCCTCTTTTCTAGAATGCTTTTCTTGATATTACCTATCATTTTACCCAATTTTCATACTGCACAGCCTGGTTCGATTCCAAGAGCAAATTAATATAAACTTTGCATTAAAAACAATGGACACTCCAATATCTAAGCAACAATAAATGATAACATGGCAAAACCAGAATGAAACAAATTATAGACACCACTTATCACTTTTAAGTAAACAAGACAAAGCACTAAAAGAGAGGGAGAAAATGAGAGCAGTTACTTTATCATGCATGTTCACCAGAAGACCATACTACAAGCAGTTTGCCAATATGTTCACTTTATATAATTCTGATAGAATCTTTCTCTTGATATAATGATGGACATCATTTCTCCAGATGCGACCATACATAAAACCAGCTCTCAATCACAAGAACAAGCGAACATAAACATTGTTTCGACTTGCAACATTTTCTTTAGCAATTTAAAACATGGTATTCTGCCGTAGACTGGCAGTCGCTTCAGTGAGTGAACTCAAAACGGTTTCACCAACCTCGGCTTTGCAAAGTGGACATGACGCGTTGATCTTCAGCCATTTATCCACACACTCCTTGTGAAAGAAATGAGAGCAAGGCAATTCCCGGAGTTCATCATTGTTCACATATTTTGCCAAGCAAATGCAGCAAACCTGCGTTGCAAAATAACAATTTATTGTGAAGCATTAAATAGAAATCCGGATCTTAAATCCAATTCCCTCAAGGCCATAAATCAGAATACTTGTCCAGTCTATCCCTATACTGACCTCTGCTATAATTAAGGCCAAGCAACTTCAAAACATACAAGAATTTGGAGTTCAACAAGGATATTTATGGGTAAAAGCACTGTTAAAAGTCAATCAACTTATAGCCATGTTTCATGTTAGTCGCTGAACTTTGTTTCAAAGTAGTCACAGAAGTGTTACTCAGCATCAATTTGATTTATAACAGAACAGATGGTATGGAAGACCTCCATGCAGATGCCATGTTACATTGCCACCTTCTAAATCATACATTTTTTTTAGAAAAACTAATGGATTTTGACTGAATAACTAAATTTAAACAAAAGACAATCCAGTGATCAATTTTGGATCATAATAAAGTTTGATGACTAACATGAAACTTTGTTATAAATTGAGTGACTAATTGGGTATTTGACCTGGAAAATTTAGAGCGATCAAAATGACTATGACATGTCTTTTGAGTACAGGCCAAGAAGTTTCATCCTCTTAATATCCACTGAGAGTCCAATTTAGCAAAGAAAATCAAATAAAACAATGTTTTAGACTATTGCTGACATCAAATTCTCGTAAACAAAGCCCTTAAAGAAATATATATATAAATCATCTTTTGTTAGCAGATTTAAAAACACGATGACATTTCAAAAATTAGATCCTTACATGGTGTACCAGTGTTTACACAAGGACGGTAAAATAAATATCTGCCTGCCCCACCCCAAAAAAATAAATAAAAAATAAATAAATAAATAAATAATTATATTCTTTATCGACTTTATAATGAATATCTCCCTAAAATTGCAGGAAGTGGAGAACAGCTCCACAGACCTACTTATATGTTCATCTTTATATAATGATCTAGTTTCTTTCCCCTTCCCTTTCTTGCCCAGGCCAACAAATACAGAGATACACATGACAAACACCAAAAGTACACAAGTAATGAAATCAATTGAAGAACTTTTTGAGTTATTTGCTCTTGCCAATCAGAACTGGCAGCAGCACAAAAAAAAGACCATCATAAATGACTTAAATACATTGGTGGTCACTAAACATTTAAAGAAATTCCACATTGCTCACTAACTTCATTTGGTCTCTAAAGTTGGTCATTGTTTACTTTCGTAACTCCGATGACTCCACCCATTATCTTTAATTTAACTACGGGAAAATTTTGCGTGTCAGTCTAGTTGTTTGTCAACTGGAGTGCCAACTAGACTGTCACGTCAGCTTTTCTGACAATCAAATTAACGGGTGTGGACATATTACCAACTTGTAATGAATATTTAAGTTAAGCAATCCAATTGCAACAAAGTTCAAGTTCAATAACCAATTTCCAGACCGAAGATTAGTGACTAACAGTAAATTTCACTAAAAGTTAGTGATCAATAGAGTTTTTAACCCACCATCATAAACTTCAAATGGTGATTAAAAATGCAATGTTAATTTAGCAACCTTTGCCCTGATATATTAAAAGAATGGGGCAGGAAGGGGTATCTGTTGCGTGAACTGACTACGATCATAAGTTCTGACATGAATATTCAAAAATTCCAAAACCACAAAGGAAATGAAGTTTACCGCATCCTCTCCAGATACCACACGCTCTTTCTCTGTTCCAGCAGCCACTATTCCAGCTTCATCTGTGGCCGAGTTAATCTCCTTATTGCTATTCTTCTTGCTCTTCTTCACTTTAAACTTGTAAGTTGGCAGAGAATTAATTGATTCTTGTGTAGCTCCTCTATTTTGAGCCAAATCCTCTCTGAAACCCAGGACTGAAATTATACAGGGAAGGCAGCAGCAGATTGTTGTGCACAGAATGAAAGGCATTGCATATCCAATACAGCTAAAGGTAAGAAACACTATACACAACCTGTAAGCAAAGAAACGTGCATTAAATTGAGCACAGTAAATAAGAATCTGATTGAAATCTAACATATGTGTATTGTGTGACTATGAATACTGATTAAATTTACCTGTACAAGTTTGGAGCCTCAGTGGAAGACGAGTGCCCGCCAAAAATCCACACATTGCCAACCACAAACCACACTGCAAAGAAACAATCTAAAGCCATCTTGAAGTATTCCACAAGTGTCCTAAGTCTGCAAGATAAAAACCACATTATTTAGCTCTCACTTTTTTATTGAATACGTGATGCACTATGATAAATGAATTATGATTCCATAACAAATTTTATGCAAAGAGTAATAAAGTCGAGTAATGTGGGTAAGGGGTGAATGACAGCATATAACCCACAAATTTGATTGTTTGGGAGATTGCGGTGCAAATTTTTTCTCAGCAAAAGGACCCAGATAGAGAGAAGTTTAGTCAAACAAAAGTAAATCTGAGACTAGTCAAAGTTCTTCTATTTGTATCCTCTCATTCCTAGTAAGACTAAAATGGACAATCTAGGTCTTGTGAATAGCATACAACACTGTAATGCTGATTCATATTTGAGAAGTACAACAAATTTCAAACCTATAATGTCACCTTCTGAGTGAGAATACAAATAAAACAGCCAGTATTGCGATCTCCAAAATTTGTATTCATTTAGACACAAGCACAAGACACAAAATGTTCATGTAATGTAGTAAAATTGTGATGAAATAAGAGAATTGGGCTTCTACGTAAAAAGAACAAAACATGGCAAACCTTGGCGAAACGTTTGGACCACTGCTAGATGTTGTACCAGTTGTCCCACGATCTTCTACTTCAGAAACTCTTCTACTTGAAGGGCCTGCAGAGAAGTTGTTCTGAGAAGAACCCTGCATGTGCTGAGTTGAGTCCTGCTCAGAACCATTGTTTCGATAGCGAAATCGCCAATATAGAAGAGGAAGGATGGCTACACAACCCGACGCATAACCCACAACCCAAGTTTTCAAAGGAGCATGTGGAGATTCGTGCCTTGACAAAGATAGCACAACCATAGCTGCAATAATTTGGCTCACTGTTAATGCTAGCTCAACAGAAATCCATAACCCAGAATTTAATGGACTCCTCCGGCGGCCACGCCCATTTCCCCTCTGAGTAAGTGATGAGCTCCTTGAGTTCGATGTACTTGCTGAAAATAGCGGAGGCTGGTATACTGGAACCCTCACACTAGTAGGTGGCTGATTTACATCATGATGCTGCTCTAAGCCACGAGATGTTAGATCACGAGATGAGGTAGATGACGAAGCATCACTACTACTTGTCATGTCAATAACATGCTCATCGTGGATATGGTCATCAGCTTGCTCCATTAACAATGGAAAGTTGTTGGTTTTGCTTTTACAATGAAGTCCCAGTATAGGAAAACCCATATAAGTCCACCGACCATAAACTATGCATAGAAAACATGAGGTGGCAGACTAGCAAAACTTTCAATCGGCCCTTTCTATAAGTACAAAAAAGTAAATTTGTAATCTTGTATGTTCACGGAATGTTTAATGCAGACACGCCCAAATACTTCAACCGCCAGAAATTTTCCCACTCTATTCAAATTACAAAAGGGCAAGGATATTAGAATCTTAATGAGTTTTTTCCCCACTTCAAAAGCATGGCCTGAACAACGATTAAAATGAATGCAACAAGAGACTTGTGTGAATTTTAAATTTTCCATCTGCTTGTAACTTCTTGGGGCAAAACCATTCAGAAAATATGCACTCTTTCATTTATCACAGATTCCCCAGCAAGAATAAAGTAACAACAAAGAAATAATATTAGAGTACTTTAACTATAGTTTTAACATACCCACTGATCAAATCTCTTTGTCAAACTTAGCTCATCAAAGTAAAACTAGAAATCTTAAACTGACTATACATTATACGTAGAAAAAAAAATTATGCGCGTCCAAAAAAAATCTATCATTAGCCTCAAACAGAAATATGGAAAGAGAAAATGTCAAATTAAAGATACAAAAGCTCAAGTAATCAAAACCTAATTCCGATTCTATTATCAACCCAAGATCCAAACCCTAGAAATATAAAAACAGTTGACCATATCCCCAAAAACAGCCCAAGAAAAAATTCGCAAATATCCCAACAAAATCTTGAAACTGTTAGCTAACCAATAAAACTCAATCCAACTAAATCAAACCCAAAAAAATGCCAAAAACAAACAATCGCCATCAACGACAATAATAAATGAACATCAAATAATTCAACTGAAATGTATAAATTATAATCTACGCATAGGTATTAGAACTATTTTTACTAACCAATGGGACTGCAATTGAGGGTTGATGAGAGGAAAATCAGACGAAGTTTCGGTAAATGAAAAATCTGAATCAGTGCAGGGATTTTCCTTTTTTAATTATTTATTGCAAGGATTTTATTTTATTTTCTTGTTGGTGTGTGTTTGTGCGTGCCAATGGCATCAGCTGAAAAAAGCAATATATTTTGCTTGGCTTGGCTGTGTTATCTGAGAATATTCTACCTAAGACTTCTATATATTGAAATTTTCACCGGGAGAAATTGCCATGGTCCTCATTCTATTGAAAACGTAGAAATTAGGCTCCGACATTTTTATTTTATTTTTAATCGGTAAATGTAAAATTTTTTTGATCAAAAATCATGAAAACTACATCGAACATACCCAGGTAAAACAAATCAAATGATTCGTACAATTACTTCGGACATACTGAGCAAACAAAAAGAAAAGATGTACAAACAATAAGATCAATGACCCAATTCTAAAAACTCAAAATGGATCAAGATATACAAATATAAAGAAAACATGACTTTGTATACGTGTGTTATTCATCTCACAATTCTATCAGAGTGTGATCTATGATCTTCAAATATTTTTCTATCCCTCGTCGTCCAAATGTGGTAAATGGTACTTGCAAGTGCAATCCTTTTAGCTTTGCGTTACTAAAATATCCCACGAATCTCATTTTTTATCCACTTCAATGCAATAGCTAATGTCGACATAGATCTTCTAATGTCAAGTCACTGTCGGATCCTCTTCCACAAGGGTGATGTGAACGAACATTCGAAGAACAAGTGTTGACTTGTTTCCGCTATTTGTCCCCCAAAGAACACAATTTCGGTCAATATCCATATTGCAATTTGTCTTTGTTAAGAAGTTTAGATTGAGCACTTAACCGAAGAATAAATGAGTGTTTCAATACAATGCAAGATTTTCAAACATCTGCAGCCCAGGTCTTCTTAGTTATTTTTGGCTAGAAGTAATCATATGCCCTACTTGTGTAAAATTTATCCCCTCTAGTCCATGCCGTAAGTCTAGCCGTAGCTGTCTGAACGGATGCAGCATCAGTCAGTCTCCTTGATCTGCTTGAGCGGACTCAATAGGCTGTCCCTGTGCATCTGCCTGAAAGGACACAGTAGGCTGCACCAATGCGTCCTTGATTTCCAGCAATTTTGTAAAGAGCGGTGAGTCATCTTTACTTGGGGAGACATCCCAAATATTTGCCCACTTCAGATAGAACTGATTAACCCAACGTATCCAAATAGTGTTTTTCTTTTGATGAATGTTCCAAAGTGATTTTGCAAGTAGTGCTGAATTCCAACTTTTCATATCTCTAAAACCAAGGTCACCTTCATCTTTCGATGGGCAAACATCCCTATAAGATACCAATGGCATCTTAGATCCCCAAAGAAAATTACGGCTTAGACTAATTGTTTTTGAGATGATAGTTGTTGGGATAGGAAAAATAGAAAGCCATAAGCATTCGACTCCTTGGAGCACTGCCCTAATTAGTTCCACTCTTCCCGTATAAGACAAAGAGGAGCAAGTCCAAGCATCAATATAACCTGCAATTTTGTCTAAAGCTTCTTGAATGTTAGTGGAATACCCAAATATTGAAATGGCATAGTACCCTTCGGGATATTAGTGAGTTCTTGGATTTCATCGAGCTCCTGCCCATGAATTCCAGTTGTAAACAAGCTGGATTTTAAAATGTTCATCCTCAAACCCGATGTATTTCCAAATTGGATAGGCAATCCATTAAGAATTGCAATGACATAACATCTCCCATCGCATAGAGCATCAAATCATCCACAAATGTTAAATGAGTAATCTTTAAGGGCCACATTTTGGGTGCAATTGAATTCACTATCATTGGAGGCAACTTTAATCATTCTCGAAAAATATTCAAGACATAAAACAGACAAGGAGGGTGAAAAAGGGTCACCTTGTTAGAGGCCTTTTCTTTCCTTAAAGAAGTCATGTAGGCTCCCATTCATAGCAACAAAATATGTTGGTGTAGTAACACATTTCATAACCCATTGGACAAATCTTGCAGGAAAACACAACCCATCAAATGCTTCTTTAGGGAAGTCCCAACTAACCGAGTCATAAGCTTTCCTTAGATCAATATTTAAAAGACATTTAGAAGGAACTCTTTCTATTATATTGTCTCATAAGTTTTTGGACAAGATGGATATTCTCTATCTTACTCCTACCTTCAACAAAAGCGACTTGCGCTAAATCAACAATGCTTCCCAAAATAGGCCTCAACTTAGAAGCAAGGATCTTAATAATCACCTTATAGATTACATTGCAACAAGAGATAGCCTATAATCCTTGAAATTCGGTGTATGACTAGACTTCGACACCAAAACAATGACCGTGTGATTGATTCATTTGAGGATGATCTAGATGAGAAGAATTCTTTGATAGCCTCCATAAAATCATCTCCAACAATCCCCCAAGCTTTTTTGAAAAAGCAAGATGTGTAACCATTCGGCCCGGGAGATCTATCATTTTCAATAACAAAGAGTGCTTCCTTGATTTTTTGACTAGAAATGTTCCAAGTGAGTTGCCTTGTGCTTTGACATCTTGTCTTTGACGGGTGCAATTCTCATCTTTGTAAATCCAAGATTCTAAAGGTCATCAAGTCTAAGCCTAATAAGGCATTTCCTTATTTTTAATATTATTAATAATAACTTATTTTTAATTAGTTTTATTTAATTACAAAAAAATGAATAAATAAATAAATAAGTAAAAGGTGCACGCCATTGACGCCTAGGCTTGCATAGTGCATAGGCCAGCATTAGTCATGTATTTTGTCGTCAAGACCACAATTGTAGATGGTTAAAGTAGTATTGATCATCCTTTTTACTCTTTTTCATATGCATGGCACCTTCTTCACACGTCATGTCTAATTCGACATTTTTTTCGCCTTTTAAAACACTACTTGAATCTCAATAGACAAAGTTTACTCTAGTCAATATTAATTAAAATGCCCTTTTTTTGTTTAAAAGACCAATTTAAGTTTCAAGAAAATTAATAACAAAGGAGAATGGAAAAGCAAAAAGGGAAAGGAAAGAGTTTGATGGTAAAAAAGTAAGTTTTTATTTATTTTATTTTTTCCCCTCTTATTCATGCGGGGTTTTGCTCCTGTAAGAGGTAGTCTAAAATTTCCAGTTCGTATTAGAGAGGCAGTCAGCCTCCCTGTTTTCCTAGCAAACCCATTTATGAGACCTGTGAAGTCCAAGCAAAAAGAAATATACTCAACAAAATGGCTTCGGGTACAATTTATTTTCAAAAACTTGATGCTTCACTTTTTTTTACAGTAAAACATAACGTACTGCATTTTGTTGTGTTCTCTTTCCTTTAAGTTACTAGTTAATGTTTTTGTTTGACTAGTCGTATATCTAATAAAAATTGACTTTTTACCTAGAGGTAATAATATTCTCATTGCAATTTTTGTTTGTTACACTATGTTTTAATAGCACTGAAAGTTTTCAAATATTTGCTCATTATAGCATTTCTGTTCCAACTTTTTTCATTTGTTCTTATCATGAACTTTTCATAATTAGTACATCTTGCTCATGATGGCGATTTCATCCAAGGATAAATTATGAGGACAATAAAAGACTTATTTGTCTCTCGTGTTTTTAGTAAAAATAAATAAATACAAAAATTTGACAAAGTATTTGCCCTCCTTCCAAAGCCGCTAATTATTTATTTGGACGGAAACTATCGTCAGAGATAAAGATCTACTAAATAATCAAAGGTTAAGGATAAGAATGCAACAAAAAAGTTGAGAAAATAATGCAACAATAAGTAAAAGTCGAGGACCTATACTGCAATTAAAATGTTGTACAACAAACAAAAAAATGTTATTTGAAATGTGAATATAATCATCCTTTATTAAAACTGAGGATGAAATAGTCTTTTCTAACCTAATTGCTATGAGAACAAAGATTGAGGACAATGAAGATAAAAAAAAGAAAAAGAAAAGGTCAAGGACATACTTGCTACATTTCAGTAGATTGAGGACTTGACCTGTAGATCATAAATGAAGTTTTAATTGACAGATTAATGTACAACACTTGATGAGTTAAGTACAACCTCATTATGGTTTGTCTTTACTTCTTTGTTGTCGAATACTAATATTATTAAGCAGTATACGTAATTTACGATACAACAACTTCTTGGATTAGGTGAAAATGTGCCAAAGACAAATAAACTTTGTCGAGATAAATTTAAATTAAAATTCACGCAAAAATTAAATGATAAAAAAAATAATTATTTGCTTCGTTGATGTGATGATCGAATGGACCGAATTTAACACTTCATCGAGATATTGACAATTAATCGATTAATTGAAATATCTTTGAAACTGAATATAATTTATTTACTTAATAATTCAAATTATTTTTGAAATTATATACATTAATAATTAGTTATTTATTAAAACAATTATGTAATCAAATTCCAAGTTATTGTAATCACGTCTCTATAATTCTTACGTCAACTTAACTTAGTCAAGACGTTCAGCCAAATTCTACAAGTTATTATAATAATAAAAGAATTTAATTCTAAATTAGTATAAAATTTGTCGATAATGATGAGGCGAGATAATTATTTTTTATTTATTATTATTATTATTATCTAGAATATACTTTCATAAAAAAAATACCATTAAATATTCGTGCAACACGACCGTATGTGTGATTTTAATAATTACACAATTTAAAAAATAATTATTATCTACAATGTTGAATATAGACTTTACTTTATCTAAACCCATCCATTAATTGTATCACACAAAAAGGGATTACTTTATCCAACATATTTGGAGAATTTTTTTTAAGGGTACTTACAGAAATATATCCTTAATTTTGGGTGCTTTTGAAAAATTATAATAAATATGGGTTAAAACATAAATACTATGATTTTATCTAATTATCATTGTAAGAAATTACGGTAGAAACTGTCAATTGGAAAAAAGGCTTGAAATGAAAATCTTGCAGACTCCAAATCAGAAGTATTAGAAGAAATTTTACACAAATCAAGTTTAAACGAGATCAAGGGCTATTTGTAATTTGATATATTAACGAGATCAAAGTTTTGATATGAAATTAAATATTTAGATTAATAACTTTGAGTTAATACATATTAAAATTCAAATTTGTATAAATTGGATCGAGTTAGTATATATGTATATATGAAAAATCTAAACTGGATTAATTCAAGAAATGTATGCAAAGTGTTTGTGAAAATGGGAATGGGAAAAGTAACATTCTCTGTCACATAAAAAAAAAAAAGAAAAAAGAAAAAATAAAAAAAAGAAGATCGTAGTCTCTCTCATTTAAATTCTTTTGAATCAATTAAATACATGTGTGTTTGTGAAAATTTAAATATGAATTATTCAAAAAGAAAAAAAAAATCTAAAAAAGGTGAAATCGATTTTGATGTAATTGATAAGTATCTAGGCCGTTAAATGAGATTAATTATAATAAATTTTGATGACTTATGACTTAATTATATTTTAAATTTTTTTTATTAGGTAAAACTCGAGGCAAATTATTGGAATTGGAAGAAATGAATAAAAAGGGGCAAAAATGAAAGAAATTCAAAGTTCGATAGTTGATTTAGACTATAAAATGATGATTGAAAATCACATATGATCAATTGGATTCAATTTGAAGTCAAATGAATGAAATATAGCCAAAGCATTCTCATAAATCAATTTCCCATCGAAAAAGTTATGTTCTGAATTTTTAGCCTTAAATTGAAACCCATTTTCGGATAGCAAATGTTCAAATTGCAGCATTGTATTCTAGAAGAATTGCAGCCATTGATATTGAAATTATCCTTTCAACGCATTTTAAATCACCTCAATCGAATATCAGAAAGAATATTAAAATATCGAAAACTACTTAGGGACTACCAAACGCAAACTAGCGCACACGCTGGCTATTTTGTGCGCACAATACATCAATTTCATGACCCGAGAGCAAATCAATATGCCTGTGTGTGCCCAGTATCTATACCTGCACGTGTGCCCGAGCCAAATTTTCTGTCGAAGGGCCAGTTTTCTTTTTAGATTCAAACTCTTATCAGTAACAATTTTGGCACGATTTCTTGACCTAATTTTGATCCTTATAAATAGAGATTTTGGAAGAAACATTGGAGAACTTTCTCTTGACTTTTTATAAAGAATAATATCATCAAAATCATTAAAAACAAGAGGTCAATTCCTTGCTTTCGGGAGAGAAGATGAATCCCTAGTAAGAATTAAATGTTAATTACATCGAGAAATTGAAAAATTCAACTTTGGATTTAAAAATCAACATTTCTTGTATTCTTTCATAATCCGGGTGATATTTTTCCATTATTCTTCTTGTAATTTATATGAAACCATGCTATGCAAGATCCTATTTTGTATTGGATGAGATGAACTCTATTGTTTATTTATTTTAATTCAATACTAGTAGTTTAATTTAATTATTATGTTTTTTTTGATTAATTTTGCATACTCATTGTATTATTTAATTGATTTGCCATCAATTAGATAATTAGTTGTTTGTTGTAGTATTGAAAGACTTACAATAAGTTCGGAACGCGGTAAAATTAACATATTTACAATAAATGTTTAGAATAACATTTTATCACTTGTAAAATTATATAGATAATATAAAATTTAATGCGTTCTAACTATTCGAATTTGGGCTAGGAATAGAGTTGGATCGTAGTTAGGATTGAATTAATTTGTCTTGAAAAAGAAATTTAAATATAATAGTTCGATTGTCAAGAACACATAAATAGAACTAGATTATAAATCAAGAATATATTAAAGTTAAATATATTAAAGTTGCATCAAAGAAGCACGTTTCTTCAAGTTGGAGCTGATGAAGACTACTTATCCATGATCAAATATATTAAAGAAAATTTGAATGAATTGACTATGTTATCAATTAAGAAAAATATGATACAAAAACTAGATTATCCCATTTTTTGCAACTAAAATTTCAAGGCAATAGTATTTAAGTAATCTTTTAGAACTCTTCCAACCTTATTATATTATTATTATATTAACAATATATTTTGTTTATCATTTTATTAATGAGTTTTGAGTTAATATTTAGCGATTGTTTGAACCTCATTTATTCAAAATTTTATTTTCAACTACACATTCTCCAATAAATATGTTTAAATGTAAATCATTTTTTTTAAAATTTTTAATCACATATTATCCCAAAAATTACGATTATAATACACATTTGTCCCCTTAAATGGGGCTCTAACAAGAGCTTAGTTCCGTAGAACTCTTATGTATCCAAATAATTTGAATGCATGCTATGACTAGGGGCCTATTTTATTAAATTAATCTCAGATCCCAAAAATCACATGTCAACACTGCTCAAATCCATACACAAATATCTTAGTTCGTATAAGACCATGTGTAATACCGTGCTCAAAATTTAGTGTTATATATATATATCATAGTTTTGCCACACTACGTGATTGATAGCTTTGTTTACACCTCTTGACATGGCTTATGGTTTTTATCATTGATTTTGACAACACTTCTTCAAATTATTAGCCTCAATTTTGACACCTCAAAGGGCGTTAAACTAATTGTACATCATGGTTGTACAACTAACTTAATTCTATATATCATGCATAAGATTTGAGTAAAAAAGGATTTTCGTAGGCCATGCACAAAAAAATAAAAAATAGGCCACTACAATATTCTAACCTCATATTAACATGCTCAATACAGAATAAATTGTTTTACTTAGTATTTAAAAATATGTCATATTCTTGCATATGCTCGATACGTTTTCAAAATGCTTTGCACATGGAGTATACGAGATTGCATACGCACTCTTAAACACTAAAATGTGCCTGTATTTGTGTTAAAAATTGTTTCAAAATTGGCTTAACAAAACCCTTTGAGCCCAACAAAATATCAAATTATCTCAAATCACAAAAGTCCTCAAATTGTATACAACAATCTTTAGGGTAGTAACGTTAAAAAAATAAAAACAAAATAATTTCATATAGTTGCAAATTATTTACGCCAAGCTGGGGCTTCCATTTTCTTCTCTTTCTCTCTCTAGTTCTACTAGTAAGCGATACTAGTAATAAACAATCTTGGATTACTGATGATTGTGATGATGATGAGGGAGTTAATAATGATATCCTATCATCTATAAGAGGTAATAGAAAATTTTGAATTGAATAAGAGGGCCGATGAAGATGATTTTACATCGGATGACACAGGAGATTACTTGGATGTAGAGGATCTGAATTAAAATTCAATAAAGAGTTAGACAATATTTATGATATTTAAGTCAATATTTGTGTTTAATCTAATTGTAAGAATTGATAATCAAATAATTGTAGTATTTATGATTTTGAGCATCATGCTTTGGGTAAAAATTTGAAGAATATGTATATAATTCAAGTATTATAGTATTTATGATTTCGAACATATATATATTGAAAATTTGAAGAATATATATAATGTTTAAATAATCCATTATCTTATTTTTTTTTATAGTTTAGAATATTCAAAATAATATTAAAAATTGAAAAATGCATAAATACGCATAGGCATGCATATTTTGTGATAGAAATGTATTGATGATATGCATTACGAATTTTAGAAACTTGGCTTTAGTTATCCGTTACAAAATCAAAGATAATGCTACTCAAATTGCATGATCCAGTTTAAAGTAGAATCTTGCTTATCGTACAAATCTAACAAAATGATACGAAGTTTCTTCAAAAAAGGAAAATTACATAACCACATGTACATTTTTTAAATAACAAACTTATGAAATCTTTTAAAAAATGGGGGGGGGGGGGGTTTACA